ATCTATCTATCTATCTATCTATCTATCTATCTATCTATCCATCCATCCATCCATCCATCCATCCATCCATCCATCCATCCATCCATCCATCCATCCACCCATCCATCCATCCATTTACTGTTTCTTGCTGAGGCAGGGTTTCTCTGTAGCTTTGGAGCCTGGCCTGGAACTCACTCTGTAGACTAGGCTGGCCTTGAACTCAGAGATCTGCCTGTCTCTGCCTCCTGAGTACTGGCACTAAAGGCGAGGGCTACCACTGCCCAGCTCCTCCAAGGCTTTTTTAAATGTCACTTTCAATAGTGCTCAATTTTAGTTTGAGGCCAGCCTGGTCTACATAGTGAGATCTCACCTAAAAACACGAAGGTTCTTTAGTTCCCCCGAAGTTGTTTGCTGCCATTTCTCTCTGTAAACACAGGGAGTGCAGCTGTGCCACTGTGCCTGGGAAGGGCATCCATCCAGAACATCTTTCTAGCATCCAAGGCCTTGTGTCCCTGTGGGACATTATAGGGGAGTCTCTGATCAGATTCCCCAAGGCTGACAATGTGAAATTGTTACTCTTATATGTTCTTCTACAGCTTAGCCTGGACTTGAACGTAAAATCCTCTGTCTCAGTGTCCCAGGAGTGGAAGAAATAATCTACAGGCAGGTACCACCATACCTGGCTCTATTCCCTTTCAAGACCTCAGTTCAGGGGACAATTCAGACTCGGAATGTCTCAGGAAAAGCAACCAGCTGCCAGGACTACCACCTCCTCGGCGCTCGTCTCTTGTATAAGTACCATCTATGTGTCTGGAGACCAGAGGACAACTGTTGGGAGCTGGTTCTCTCTTCTACCACACGGTTCCCAAGGGACCAAACTCAGTGCCTCGGGCACTATCTTCTGCAACCCCCTCAGTCTGCAGTTCTGTTGTGTAAGACTGCTACAGGGCTGGGGATGTAGGTCAGTGGCAGAGCCTGGCATGCCTTCCCCAGCACTGCAATAAAAAGATTAAGAAGTGAGTAAAGTCACTACCTAGATAATTGACAATAAGTTCTTAAAAAAAACCCCACTTATTAATTTTGTGTAACAATGTGGGCATGCACATGCCACGGCATGTATGTGAAGGTCAGGGGACAACTACTGAGTGTTGGTTTTCTCCTTCTCCCAGGCTGATCCCAGGGATCAAACGGAGGTGGTCAAGCTTGGCAGGAAGCACCTTTACCTGCTGAGCCATCTTGCTGGCCCTCCAGCACTAAGTTTTATCACTATTGCTTTATTTTCTGTTTACACTATAGACAGTAAGGCTAGGGACTTTATTTCTTCTTTGAGTTTATTGTATATGGGGAGAAGAGGACCCTTCACTTATTGGTTCAGACAAGCTTGTTCGTGTAGCTTGCAACTGTTTTCTCAATCTCTTAACACATAAAAACCACTTGTTTGAAAGAATCTTATGTACTTCAGGCTGGCTCCTGAAATCTAGATTCTGCTGCCTGTCTCCCAAGTGCTGGGATGATGGATTGCCACTGGAGTGAGCCACAATGTCAGGCCCCAAAGCACCTCTGTGTGTTGTATGGTGCATACACGCCGGAAACAGGATGCACACATCTGTGTGTGCCCACTCAGTGGCCAGAACAGGAGGCTGGGTGTCCTCTTCACTGTTCTTATCCTTATCACCTTGAGACAGGGTCTCTCACTGAACTGGAAATGTGCTAGCTGACTGGTTCTCAGGATCCACTTGTCTTTACTCCCTAATACTGGGTTTACAGGCATTCATGGCCATGCCTGGCTTTCCTGAAGGTACTGGGGACTTGAATTCTGGTCTTCATGTTTACAGAGCGAACGCTTGTATCTATTGAGCCATCTCTCCAGCCCCTCAAAGGATGTTTTTCTATGTTGTACTTTCCCCTAATTCAGCACTTGGCAGTTTTCTTCATGCTAACATACACCACATAAAAGTTAAGATTCTATCTCCATCTACCCCATTACTCATTCTCTTTGAGAATTCTGGCCTGACTGTATAGAATATGTCATGATTAATTCTACTCTACATCTACACTGTGTCTCAGACCGACAAGCCCTTCAGAGGTAAAGCTTCTGGCAGCATATTCCAGAAGAATCTGTGGTGAAGTATGCTTTTCATAGGGGTGGGTTCCTAGAAGTTTCCACACTTGTGTTGCATGTGGTCAGTGAAATGCAAGGAACAGTGTGCACTAGAGCATGAGCAGCTCGAGGCACAGAAGAGCTCACAACCCAGCGTTCTGGAGCCTTGTCCTCAGGAAGAGCTACCGAAGAGCACACAGTTGCAAGTCCTACCCCTCCAGTGTAGGCTGGGGACTCAAATGAGCTGAAGCCACCAGAGCTGCTAGTTCCCATGCTCTGGGACAGAACATTCGCTGGCTTTGTCCCACCAAGATTGGGATGGTCTACAGATGCAGAATTTAGTGACTTTTTTTAAGTCCCAATGGGAATAGTACATTTTGAAAGCCGAGCTTCTGAGCTGGGTATGGTGATGCACCTGTAATCGTCCACTCAGGAAAGGCTACCACAGGTGAGCTAGGGATCTTCTCTAGCCGTCATCTCCTCTCACCGAGGTGACCCTTGCTTTTATTTTGAGCGAAGCTACCAAAACAGTCCTATTAAAATACAACTTCTATCCCACTCCTCTGCTAAGGCCAAGTCTTTGCAGGGCCTGTTGTGTACTTCACAACGGTGCCTGCCTGGACTTGACACTTTTCACTACACCACCCAAGGTTCCATCTCACCTGCCTCCCCACTGCACTCTGAACACCCCTCCCCATGGCCTCTGCTACCCCTTGACCTTTCTGGTAAGCTGCTCCAGTTAGGGCTAGACGTTAGAGGCTGATGGGGCACCGTGGCTCCACTGCCGTCAGATCCCTGACCTGGGGCAGTCAGTGGGCAGAGACAGAGGCTGGGCAAACATGCCCAATGACCTAAAGAGTAAGAACAAGCACTTAGTCCCGCAGCTGCTCCAACCAGAGTAAGAGTCTGTTTACTGTCTCTTCCCACATATGACACAGTCAGCTTCCCTAGGAGCAGGGCTCTTGGCTGCTACAATTTTCCAGCTCTCATAAGAACACGGGATCCACAGTGGCTCCTCTGCAAGCATTTGTAGAATGAGAGGATTCAAGAGATGAACAAGACTTCAAGTACACCTGTCTTGACCTCCACCAGCCTGTGAAACGCTGCACAGACTACATTAGACATGACAGTAAAATGACTCAGCACAGCCCAACTGTGACCTATGTAGTGTGGGCTCCACAGGTCACACTGATTCCCAGGCCTCAGATTAGACAGGAAAAGGCCCCACAGGAACTCTGGCTGCTGTTGCCAGGTACCTCCTCCATTGCAGCCTGCCCTTTCTCCTCGGTGACAATTTGCCAGCTGAGAAACTGTGTTTGGCCAATCGCCTTTCCGGTAGGTCCAGGCCATGTGCCTTTCAAGGGTTGCTGTTGGACAGGGCTTCTGGGAAGCTACCATAAAAGCACAGGGTGGATGCCTGTCCTTGTCTCCTGTCTGTCTGGAGTGCAGTGTCATGGTTATGCCTGAAAGCCATGCTTGAGTCTCACTTCTGTTCTAGGACAGCAATCAGGTTGAATGCAACAGCACAGGCCCCAGGAAGACTCAGTCATACTGGAAGCAGGGCTATGTGGATTCTGCACAGTAACATTCTCTGAGATGTTTGACTGCTTCAACACACAGAAACACTAAGGCCCCAAGCTATGTACACCAGCTCTCCAGGCTTCTCTCCTCTAGTTCACAGCCTGAACTATACATAGTATATCTTAAAGGAAATCAAATCTGTGGGCTATCTCCACAGGCGAGGAAAAAGCAAGACCCCACCTGCAGGGTAATGGTGACCAATGGATTGTCAAAACACCAGACTAACAGAGCCCACAGGGAGATTGTCATTTGCCATGGAAATGCTGCTGCTTTACAAGTTTTCCATGAGGGCCGAACTGTGAGTCACTAACAGGTCAACTCTGTCTCTGTCTCTGTCTCGCGCACACACACACACACACACACACACACACACACACACACACACACACACACAGAGCAGTGAGCAGGGAAGACACTTTGTTTCTGTGGCCTCAAAACTATTACAGAAGGAGCCACAAATTTCCTTTTCTTCCTTAGACTGGCTGTTATGAACCCTTGCTGTTCTCCTAGAGGACCTGGGTTTGGCTCCTACACCCACACCAGGCAGTTCACAACTGTCTGTAACTTCCAGTTCCAGGAAATCCAACATGGCCTGTGAGGACACCTGCATACATATGGTGCATTATTCACATACTCAGGTCATAAAAATAATAAATAAATCTTTAAAAATTTGGAGAAAAGCACTTTTGTCTATTTATCCATGTATTTATTTGTTTGTTTGTTTATCTACTTATTTATCTGTGTATTTATGTATTTATTTTGTGTATGATGTGTTTGTATACAGTGTGAGTGCGAGCACCTGTGTGCCATGATGTCTGTCTGGTCTCACCTTCTAACTTGTTTTGAGACAACTGAGACATCTCTTGTTCACTGATGTGTACTCCAGGCCAACCAGCCCCTGGGTTTTGGGGATCCTTCTGTCTGTCTCCCATCTTACTGGAGTGCTGGGATTCCTGAGGTGTACTACCATGCCTGTTTTATGTGGCTTCTGGGGACTCGAACTCAGGTTCCCTCTCACACTTGCTTGGCAAATGCTTTATCCGCCAGCCCTCCCTAGCCCTGGAGAGAAACATTTTGAGAGTCAATTGAAATAGTATGGAGCTGCTTGGTGTGGTGTCATGCCTGTAATCCCAGCTTGGGGAGTGGCTGGAGTAGAGGTAGCCTGGATGGAGGAAGAGGGAGGGACAGAGGGAGGACGAGTCAGCTGGCAAGCTCACGTCCTTCAGGGGGGATCCTATGACTTTCTAGAGCAGGCTGCCATCAGTGCTTAGCACTGCCCGCCATGCTGTGGCTCTGCTGTCAGTTTCACACTGCTGAGTCTTAAGGCGTGTGTTCACTACACAACCACACTCTTGCCCACATCTGAAATTCAGCCGAGAGCCAGGTGAGGTATTGCAGGCATGTCATCCCACCACTCAGGAAGAGGACCATGAGCTCGGTGCTGGGCAACTTAGCAAGGCAGTCTCAAAATAGAAGACCAAGGGGAAGCTAGGGCTGTGGTTCAAGGGCAGAGTGCTTAGAGTGCTTGCCTAGCATATGCAAAGCCCTGGAGTTCCAGCCCTAGCATTGAAAACAGCCACACGTGTGGTTGACAGCAGCTGACCCCCTGTGAATGGAGTTCCTTACTCGCATCTTCCAACCAAGTGCAGACCTTCCAAGAATGCACGAACCTGGCCACTCTGAAATAAGAACTGACGGGAATGAGTGACTCCCAGTTCAGCCATTTCTCTCAGTGTCCACGAAGAAGGCAGCAGGAAGTGACAGAGAAAACAGGCCTCTTTGCATGCAGCATGTTCACCTCGGTGAGGCCTCCCCAGCTTCTGACACAAGTGACTGCCTGGCTCGAATGGTCGTGGAGATGTCCAAAGACAGACAGATGCACAAACTCCTGAGCTAACTGTCCCGTCCTGTGAGAGTGAAAAGATCCACCTAACTCTAGAGACAAGTCGGCCGTCATTTCTTTGACTGCTATGACTGCCGGGGCTGTACCTAGTCATCTCCCCTCTCAGGACGTTTTGGAGAAGCACAGTAAGGAACATGTCAGTCATCTCGACTGGAAGCACAGGGCACGCCAAAGCCTATTTCAAAACTGTGGTTGACACAAATCACAGACACAAGTGTAGTGTTGAAACTGCTGCAGCAGGTGCAGCTCTCCCAGCCTCGGACGGAGAGTGGCGGCCATCTCGGCCTCCCTTCACTTCCAACACCTCAGAGGGGTCTCCTGGTCTGCAGACGAGTCCTCATTGTTTAGTGTGGTCTCCATGGTCACAGCAAACGCCCTGCTCCACTTCACACAGTGTGCAGATTGGGGGACCACTCAGCCACAGCGGAAGGCCACCCCAGGCCCCATCAGTGTGAGTCTAGAGCTGTAATTGGTGGTACGCACCTGTCAGACGGTCCTGCTGACACCATGAAGTGTCACAGAAGCCAAGCCAGAACAAGCCAGGACTGTGGAGTGAGGGACAGAACTGTGAATAGTCCAGATGTGGGCCATTCTCCTGTGTTATTCTCCAGCCTTCGAGTGCTGTCAGCTCCTAACCAATACAGTCTTCTTGTGGATAGAGCCAGCTGGAGCTGGGCCCTGCTTTCATGCCATTGGGTGTGTGGCCCTTATAATCTCGCTGGGCCCCAACACCACCCTACCCCCATGCCACCTCATCTCCACCATGTCCTTGACACATTATACCTATCTTTACCAAAACTCTCTGAGACAACCCTGACTTAATCCTGCCAGATAGACTTGGCCACCTTTGCCCTGTATGCCTCACATGGCCCGTGTGATCCTTGATTATATTTCTCATCACACATTATTGCACATATTGGCTTATGTGTTTGTTTTATTACCTCTCTGAGAAACTAGGACTTGCCAGTGTGGGTCAGGCATGCACCCTCCATAGTGGGCTGGGTTGTGCATATTTATAAGATCACACTCAGAGCAGAGGTTAGCTACTAGAGATGACTGCTAACTCGTTCTAACTAGCTAATGCCTTGAAGCACACAGGTTAATAGAAAGCAGGGTTAACAGAAAGCATGATACTACCCATGCCCTAAGTGGAAAGCATGGTGGTCTTAAAAAATCCTAAATCCAGGCTGGAGAGATGGCTCAGTGGTTAAGAGCACTGACTGTTCTTCCAGAGGACCCAGGTTCAATTCCCAGCACCTACATGGCTCACACCTGTCTGTAACTCTAGTTCCAGGGCTTCTGACACCCTCACACAGACACACACACAGGCAAAAACACCAATGCACATAAAATAAAATAATAAATAAAAAAAATCCTAAATCCATTTTCTATGAAAGAGGGCAGGTCATAGGCTTGGGAGACAGCTCAATAGGCAAGGGCACTTGCTGTGCAAGCATGAGGACCCAAGTTCAACCCCAGCACACTTGCAAAAAGCTTCCAAAGCCAGTGTGGTGTACACCCCTGTGACCCCAGCACTGAGAGTGGCAGAAACAGGAGGATGGGGCTTGAGGCCACCAGCCCAGTTCCAGGTTCAGTGAGACACCCTATGTCAGGGAAAACAGGTAGAGAGTAACAGAGTTGGACACACACCATCATTCTTTGGCCTGTATGGGCACATATATCCACACACGTACACACTTGTCACATACACAGA